CTTTAAGTTCTTCCATTTCTATAACCTCTACCTTACCTCCTACTATTGGGATGGTACTATTGTCCTCCACTGTGGAAACTGAGGCCAAATATTGATTTAGTGCCTCTGCCATTTCTGTATTCCCCACTATTAACTCCCCAATGTTAATCCTTCAAATGACCAACATTCACTTTAGCTAGTCTTTTCCCTTTTATATATTTTATCAAAGCTTTTGTTATGTGTTTTATATTTTGTGCTACTTTCTTTCATAATTTACCTTCACTCTTTTTATTACTTTTTTTAGTGACCCTTTGTTGATCTTTAAAGGTTTCCCAATGTTCCAGCCTGCCAATGGCCTTTGCAATATGACATGTCTTAGTTTTTGGCTTCATGTTATCTTTAATGTTGTTCCTTAGCCATGGATGACTTTTTCCCCTTCTTACAATATTTCTTCCTCTTTGCAACATATTTTAGATTGGAACAATTGAATATCTCCTTAAACATCTGTATTTTAGTAACTGTCCTTCCTGCCCAGCCTATGAGGGACAAATCTAACCTTGTGCCTATGTAATTACCTTTGTTTAACTGAAGAATGCTACCATGGTACTCTAATTTCTTACCATCAAATTGAATTGTATGATCACTCTTCCCTAGAGAATCCTTAACTATAAGATCATTAATTAATTCTACATCATTACACAACAACAAATCCAGAAGCAGCCTACTCTCTGGTTGGTTTGCCAGCGTATCGCTCCAAGAAACAATCTCTAAGGCATTGAATGAATTGTCCCTCAAGGCTACCCTTGTTATTTTGATTAATTTAGACTATATGCATTGTAAAATCACCCATGACTATTGCTGTAACTTTCTTACAAGTCCCCCGTATTTCCTGGTTTATATTGTGCCCCACTGCAAGACTGCTGTTTGGGGACCTGTAGATTACTCTCACTAGGGACTGCTTCCTCTTGCTATTTTTTATTTCTACCCACACTGATTCTATGTCTTGATCCCCAGTGCTGATATGATTTCTCATGATCGTAGTGATATCTTCCTTTACCAACAAAGCTACTCGTGGATATTCAATCCTCAAACCCGGTCTCCCTGCAACCATATTTCAGTAACCTCCACTAAATTGTACCCATTCGTCAGTGTTTATGCTGTTAGCTCATTCATTTTACTCTGAATGCTTCATTCATTCAAATACAAAGCCTCAATGGTTGATCTTTTATTAGACTTCTCTACTTGTGTATGATTCCATGGTGTAATATACCTTTCACACGCTCCATCCCTTCGTTTTATTTTGTAGTAACAATAAGCCTCATCATAGGATCCCTACAGTGTGGAATCAGGCCATTCGGCCCAACAAGTCCACACCAACCCTCAGAGCACCCACCCAAACCCATCCCCCTATATCCCACCTAATGTACAAATCCCTGAACACTACGGGCAATTTAGCATGGCCAATCCAACTAGCTTGCACATCTTTGGACTGTGGGAGGAAACTGGAGCACCCGGAGGAAACCCACGCAGACACGGGGAGAATGTGCAAACTCCACACAGACAGTTGCCCGAGGGTGGAATCAAACACAGGTCCCTGGAGCTGTGAGGCAGCAGTGCTAACCACTGTGCCGCCCCATCACTAACCTGTACTCCTATATTCTCCACTAATTTTAATTTTCTGACTTTCCATGCAACTGAAACTTCCTCCTTATTCTTTAGTATCATAGAGGGCAGCATAGAACTCCAAAAGGACAATGGGAAAATAGGTGGAAAATGATGTTCTATAGGGAGAAGTATGAGGTGATACATTATGATAGGAAGAACATAGACAGACAGAACATAGACAGGCTGAGAAAGAAATCCTTGAACAGTAGGGGAATCAAAGGAAAGGGCAATAAAGTGGATGTAGGAAATATCAGATCAGTCATGTTTCTATTGAATGGCAGAGCAGGCTCAAGGGACTGAATGGCCAACCCCGTGCTTATTTCTTGTGTTCTTATAGGTGATAAAAATAGGGGTTATAATTCTTTTGGGGCACATGAGCAGTTAGTGTACATGATCTACACACATGAGTACATCTGTACATGTATCACTGAAGTGGAGGGAACAGTTGGAGACTGCCATATTCTTGGCTTTAGTAATAGAGGCATGGAGTACAAAGCAAAGAGGTTATACTGAACTGGTACATGCATGTGTTAGACCTCAGCTGAGGTATTGTGTACGGTTTTGCATGTCATGCAATAGGAAGCATGCGAATCCATTGGAAAGAGAGCAGGAGCAATTTACAAGAATCACTCCAGGGATGAGAAACTTCAATTTTTGAGTATAGATTAGAGAAATTAGGACTGTTCTCCTTGGAAAGAAGATGCTAAGAGGAGATCTGTTGAAGCTTTTAAAATATGAAGAGTTCTGGATAGTGTAGATAAGAAGTAACTGTTCAAGCTCACAAAAATATCAAAAGGGAGCGGGAACAGATATAAAGTGATTTGTAAATGTGGCAAATGTGATGAGAGAAAATTTTCTTTTGAGTGGATTGTCTGGAATGCACTAGAATGAAGTGTGGTGGAGGCAGGCTCAATTGAGACATTCAAGAGGTAATTAGCTGATTATTGTTATGACACAGGGATAGCATACCAAATCAAATCAGACTCACTATTATTGGATTTCCAACACAGTGAAATTCAAATATTCAATGACCCTCCAAATGCCCAATTGTTCCTAACCAGACTTTACAGATAACAGTCTTGGACATCAAGATTATAACCTAAACAAAGATTAAAATTTTGTTTTTAATAATGTAATTAACAGAATATAGATAAACAAGATAATTGAATTAATATCAATGATCGAAAACCCAATCTTCTTTGATCACACAGGCTGGCAGACACAATTCAGGGATTAATTAAGAAAAAAGAAAATAAAAGAACTGTAATTTGCCTGTTCAATAAACTATTTCAAATTATAGATACCCAGCTTTCATGAAATCTTTGGGCAATGGGTTATTCACAAGTAAGCATAACTATATTTTGTTTAAATTCTGAAATCACTGGTTAATGCAAACAGTTTCAAAGCGACTTCCAGAAATACTTAGTTATTTCTTACAAAGTGAGGTTCTTTCGTAGAACATTCAAGAATTGATAATCGGAGACAAACTAGAGGGAGAGCAAAAACCTGACAGTACCATCTCCAGAAGTATCCAAATATCACATTGCCTCCTTCTAATCCAGTCAGAACTGGTTTTCTCTTGATTAACCAGTTCAACATCTTACCAGTTGCCATTGCTAAGCAGAGTAACAGCTTGGTGCCAGTTCATGTATAGCGTCCTTAGATGAGTAATTACATTGGATTATCTTTCCAGGCCAGTTCCCAACAGAAAACAAAAACAGGAATTGGTGGAAAGGCTCAGCAGGTCTGGTAGAATTTGTGGAGATAAATCAGAATTAAAGTTTTGGGTTCAGTGACCCTTCCTCAGAACACCTAAGTTCTGTCCACAAAAAAGACCCTGTGCTTCTAGTAGCCTGCCATTTCAACATACTACAGTGTTTCCTGGCCAACATCTCTGTCTCAGGCTTGTGGCAGTGCTCCAGGGAAGCTCCAGTCTTGAAGTAGAAACAGAAAGTGCCCGAGGAACTCAGCATCCAAAAGAGCGAAACAGAGTTAGCATTTAGAAGAAGCATTGCCTTCTTTATGTTTTAGCTCAGATTTGCAGCGTCAGCAGTAGTTTGGCTTCGTTTCTTGTCTCAGTGTGATTTCCGTGTGATGCGCCATGAAAGAAGCAAGGCTTTGAGGAGATTTCCAGAAGAAGTAATAGGATTAGCAATGTCTTGGAGGGAGTTTCAAAGGATGGTGACTAGAGGGCTGAAATTTCAGCCCCCAGCCCGGGACAAGAATTTCCACGGAGGTGCTCAGATTGTGGCAAGCTGAGTTTGCCTGACGTGGACAGAAACCACATTTCGATGCGTAAAGGGAGTTTCCGCAATTTTTTTTCGCAATGTTTCAGTGGCAAAGCGTCAGCAATTTCGAGGAAATTCCGCGATTAGGTGACAATGTCAGCAACATACGTGGAGTCAAAATTGAATGACGATGGATCGAATCGTACGGCTAGGAATGTTTGCAAAGTTAGGCTGGATAAGTCTGCGGCTTTTTTGCGCGTAGAGTTGGGAAGACACAGAGAGCACGGCTGTGAGATAAGACGCAATACAAAATGCGGGCTGTACATTCTTGAACAAGTTAGAATTTCAGTGAGGATGCGTTTGTTAAGTTGACAGAGGAAACATTTAATTTAGCACTGCGATAGTTTCTTTACAGCTGGCAATAGAAACGTAATTAACACAATCTTCCTTCCTGATCCAAGCCACATGCTAAATATGCCCGATCAGATTTTGCGCCAGTCCTTCTGTCGCTCGCTTCGACCATTTTTTGTGGTTAATTTTATGTAAACTGTTTCATTAAAATGCTCACCTGCGCGTAAGAGCTCAAAATTGCTGGAATTTGGAGATTGTCTGCGGCTGCAGGAGACCGTTGTACTGAGCAAGTTACAGACCTGCTGAATTTCATACAGTCATCGTAAAAATCCCTACAGCGTGGAAGCAGGCTATTCGGCCCATCGAGTCCATACCACCCCTCCGAAAAATATCCCACCCACACCCCATATTTCCCTGGGCTAATCCACCTAGCCTGCACACTATGGGCAATTTAGCATGGCCAGTCCACCTAAACCACATATTTTATGACTGTGGGAGGAAACTAGAATATCCAGAGGAAACCCGAGCAGACATGGGGAGAACATGCAAACGCCACACCGTCGACCTGATGCTGGGATCGAAACTGGTTCCCCAGCGCTAGCAGTGCTCACCACTGAGCCACCCATCTTCAGTAATTTCTGTTTTCATTAACAGTGCAATGTGACTGACTCTTAACTGTCCTCTGGGCAATTAGGGATGGGCAATACATGCTGATCCAGTCAGTGACGCCCACATCCCATAAATAAATAGAGCAAAATTAGTTATTATCATTCTTACCTAATCAATGTCAGCGTCTGCACAGGAATGGTTTATTTTTTTGTCCTCGCAACTGACAACATGCAAATATATCTCTTAAGATGTCCCTTAACGCCTCCTCCCACGAAAACACGTCTTAAATGAAAGCAAAATACTGCATCTGAAATAAAAACAGAAAGTGCTGGAGAAATTCAGCAGCTTGTGGCAGCATCTATGGGAGGGAGTTAACGTTTAGAATCCAGTCTGGAACTGTCTATAGATGCTGCCAGATATCCTGAGTTTCGTCAGCACTTTCTGTTCTGTTTTGTTTTATTTCACACAGATTTTTGTGTCAATTCCCTCCAGCTGATCACAGGGCAAACAATAGTCATTTATTTTCAGCCCCTATTGTTTAACTCTTTCCCCTTGGCACCACTGCACCCCTGTCCAAGCAGTCACATCACTTTAGTAGTAATCCTGACAAATGAAAATGATTTGTGGACTGTACGTTTTACTGAAGGTGAAACACAAGAATCTCTTTTGTCTAAATTAAAGTGCTATCAGGGAATACAAAATGCAGGAAATCTTGAGCAAAGAATACAGCGTCTGCGTGGAGACAAACTTAACGTTTCAGGTAATATGCAACAAAGAGCTGCGAATGCTGAAGATTTGAAACAAACAAATAGAAATTGATTGAGAAGCTCAGCAGGTCTGGTAGCAGGAACTGCAGATGCTGGAGATCCTTAGAAGAGGCTTCGCAGTGGGGTTAAAATTGAATCAGAGATAGTAGGAACTGCACATG